ATTTAGGTCAAGGAAAAGAGTAAATTATATTTTGTAGGGTTAATCTCATTTTGTACCTCGAAAAATTGTTCGAATCTCAATTTATACCCTCAAAGATCAAAAATTTTAATTTACACCCTCAAAGATAGAAATTTGTATCAATGTGCACCCCCAAAGATCAAAATCTCAATTTGCACCTCAAAGATAGAAATTTATATCAATGTGTACCCCAAAGATAAAAAATCTCAATTTGTACCCTCAAAAATAGAAATTTGTATCAATGTGCACCTAAAATTAAATTGATAAATTATACCTAAAACCCCTCATATTTGTCAGGTAATCATTTAGACTTCTTCACATTTAGAATATTACTCTTACATCTTATGACATTTGTACACGTATAACACGTAACCCATTTTCATTGATATCTATTAATATAACCGTTAAAAAATATAATTTTATCCTAATAAAAAATTATAATTTCATATTACCCTTTATTTTATAGGTTCAATATACTATAAAGTTCAAAATCTAGTTTACCATTTGAATGTCTAATAAAATATAAATATTTATATAATATTTTTCATATTACCTTTTATATAAATATCTACATTTTATTAGACATTCAAATGGTAAGCTTGATTTTCAACTTTAGAGTATATCGAATCCACAAAATAAAAGGTAATATAAAATTATAATTTTATATTAAGATAAAATCATATTTTTTAACGATTATATTAATATATATCAACGAAAAATAGTTATGTGTTACACATGCATAAACGTCATGAGATGTAAGGGGAATATTCTAAATGTGAAGGAGTTCAAATGATTAAGTGACAAACATGAGGGGATCAAAGTATAATTTATTAATTTAATTTTAGGTGCACATTGATACAAATTTTTATCTTTGAAGGTGTAAATTGATATTTTTTATCTTTGGGGATGCACATTGATACAAATTTCTATCTTTGAGGGTACAAATTGAAATTTTTGATCTTTGGGGTGCACATTGATACAAATTTCTATCTTTGAGGGTGTAAATTGAGATTTTTGATCTTTGAGGGTGCAAATTGAGATTCGAACAATCTTTCGGGGTACAAAATGAGATTAACCCTATTTTGTATCCTTAAAGATTTAATATTTCTTATTTTGTAACTTTAAAAATTAAATTTTTCATATTTTTCTTTCAATGTCTTAAAAGTTATTGTAATACAGCTCTGCTGTTAATTTTAGCCACTCGTTTCATCAACTTCAATAAAATGATTTTGACGAAATAAACAATTAAAGATAACGGAAGTATCATATTAAAATATTTTTATTATATTGAAGGTACAACATAAAAAATTTCATTTTTGAGAATATAAAATAAAAAAACTTAAATCTTTCATAATGCAATTTGAGATTCCCCCAAGTAAAATAAAAAGTTTTTGGACGAAAAAAATATTTTCAAATCAATGTAGGATTTATTTTTCTTCTATGAAGTGTGGGCTAGTTGGCAAAAGTTGCAACCCATGGGCCGTTTTTAAGGCCTAAGGTCCATCGAGATGTGTGAGAGAACGTCGACATTAAATAGCAACGAAAATTTGTATTCATGTCCACCCATAGGCCAAATGGTATCATCTAAACTTTTTTTAGGGAAGAGTTAGGCATTCAGTCGGGTCGGATTCGAGTCGGGTAAACAATTATGGGGCCAAACCATGACTCGGTTGAAGATTGAGGATTTTTTTTTTTATATTTATTTGTCGCTGAATTTATGGACTCGATTTTCTTTTGTCCCCGGAGTTTTCACATTATCTCCTAAATTATTTTACATTACACAAAATACAAACGATTGCTTTCTTTTTGAGATAAATTGTTAAGTTTTGGATAAAGTAAAAAAAATCACATTTTTCAGAAACAAAAAAGTAAAACAAATTTTTTTAAAATTTATAAGGAATGTTAATCGTTGAGACGGTGTGAAACTAATCACATGATTAAGTGTATGGTGTAAAATAAATGATATTTAAGGGACAATATTTAAAAAGAGTCATAGTAAAGGGGACAAAAATATAATTTACCCTTGTTATAATCACACATCGTTTATAATTTATCCCAGTTCATCACAGTAAAGTTGACATCTAAATTTCAACATTAAACTAGAGAGGGCACATTACAATTTTTGAAATTTGGAGGGTAACCTCCTCAAATCGGTGCAAATAATGAGGTCATTATTGTAATTATCTCCTCCTTCTCAGGGTTGGCCCCATATATAATCCACTCAACCATCTAATTCTAGGGTTTGTGAGCCAAAGAACAAAAAGGGGGTGTTTGGATGGGCGGATAAAGGTGGAAACACAATATTGGATTGGATAAATAAGTTATGGGCCCCATTTATCCCTACTTTAGCAATGCATTTTGACGCTGCATATGCGTAGCTTTTCAAAAACTACGGTAGTAGTAATTCAGCCCAATGTTATTAAAATCGGACCAGTCATCGAACCAATAAGGCGACCAGATCAATGGTTCACTGGTTTAACCGTTGGGTCAACTAGTCGGACCGGTCATATAATAAAAAAATTAAAAAATATATATATAATAATAATTTAGCTAAAAAATATTAAAAAAATGTCTAAAATGCATACAATTTGCCATAAAATTTATGAAGTTAAGTAAAAGAAACACATTTGTCAAATATCAAAATCAAAGTTCAACTTTAAAGCTCTAATCCAAGGACAGAACAGAACAATCACTCCAAGTTCAAACCCCAAACCACAATCTCTACTAAATTTAAAAGTTTATATAAGAACAGACCCACTTTGTCTGAGTTCACTTACCTAATTTCAACAATTTTCAGACTCAGGATACCAAACCCAATAACTATGAAATATACTAGAGGGAAGAGAGAGAGAAGAACCTTCAGGTTTTATAGCGATAAAAAAAATGGGGGGCAAATAAGTCAAAAACCATTCTCTCAATCTTGAAGCAACAACGCAACACCACCTTAAGCAACAACAGCAGCATCGCCTTAACCATTCTCCATGAAGGAAGGATTGAAACCCCCCACAAACATTATCATTGCTACCAAAACCTTAAATTGGGCAGTAGAGTTCAATGTTGCAGGGACTAATAGCATTTGAAAATTAGACATGAAATCTAAACCCAAGATTATTTGGGTCCAATCCAAATCTATTAATACCAGATAAATCATCTCGTTCATTCCCAATATGCATTTTACAAAGATTTTTCGACAAACCCAGTTCATCCAACCTATTTTCCTGCTCATCGGAGTTCTTGAAAACCAAAGAGTCCAAGTATATAGTACTTGGTGTTTGATACATAGTCTCATGAAACGGGGTTACAAATGGTGATGAAACGCCACTAGAAGTACCAAACCCACCAAAGAAATAATCTAAACAAATAGGTGAAAGTTTCTCTCAATGGGACCTATCTCTACCTTAGTAGAAGCAACAGCAACAGCACCACCTTAAGCAAATCGCCGCGTAAAGCTCTTTAATGGGTTTTTGTAATTTGAGGAGAGAGAGAGGGTGGAGGGGTTTAGGAAGAAAGGAGATTGAGGGGGTGGAGAGCTCGTTGGTCGCCGGAGAGTGGGGTGGTGCTTCTACGATTTTGGGCAAAAGAAATGGCCCAAATAAATGGGATTTAAGTCATTTGTCTTCAAACCGTCCGATTTTTATAAAAATCGTCGGTTCACGGTTTTTTATAAAAATCGACCAGTTTTTTGATTTTTAGCCGGCTCTTTTCCTTATGCAGTCTGATTAGAGAACTGGACCGATTAAGGCCTCAAGTCACAATTGGACCGGTCCGATTCAATTCTGATAACACTGATTCAACCCCTTTATCCCCTCTCATATGGACAAAGAAATCCCACCAAAACTTTGGGATTCATTTTCAGCCGACAGGATACAAATCCTATTTTATCATTTCACCCCTGCCCAGCACAAAAGTTAGGGTTTTTTAACCTCTTCTCCCCCTTTTGCACTAGTCCCAGACGAAGAACGACGCGAACTCCTCCCATTGGCAAGGTATATATATGTATATATACACGTAGACATATATATTTTTGGTGTATTGGTGGACTTGTGTTTGAGGTGGTTGGGCCGGTGAATTACGACGGTGCAATTGTGGTCTCTTTTCCAGCGAGTAGAAGTACTTGTGAGAACAAATGTTTGAGTAATTGTTCATGTATTGGTTTATATCACCATGGAAGTACTAATCTTTGTAAGAATTTATTTGGGTCTGTCTTAAATCCTCACTTTTGATAACACAATTCAGGATGATTTATACTTACAGGTACTAAAGGGGAGTATCACAGAGAAGAACAAAGAGAAAACCTGGGTTTTGATTGGTACAATTTGTGGGTTTTTAGTGGTGTTTATGTTGGTGGTTGCAATTTTATTGGGTTGGAGGAAGATGTGGATCAAGAAGAGGAAAAGAGAAGAAGAGGAAGGTGTGTTTTCGGTGACTAGGCTTGAAAGACCTGGTGGTGATGAGAGATAGTTTAGAGCAGAGGTGTGCACAATTAGGAACATTCAACATGTTAATCTTGTAAGATTAAGAGGGTTTTGTTCTGAGAATTCTCACAGACTTCTTGTTAATGATTACATGCCTTGTGGTCATTTGAGTGTGTATTTGAAGAAGGATGATCAGAGTTTAAGTTGGGATGCTAAATTTCAAGTTGCAATGGGGACTGCCAGAGGCATTGCCTATTTTCATGAGGAGTATAGAAATTGTATCATACAAAGTGGTAACCAACGTTGATCAATTAATATGGTCAATTGTCAAGCCAAAAAGGAGATAGGATTGGATAGGATTCAAGAGTAAAATGGTCAATTAATATCAAGGTATTAGATGTTTAATAAAAAAATGTAGTTTGTCCATATCTCAACCACAACATAATGCACTATCCAAAACAGAGATTGGATAACACAAATTACTTTTAGTCCCCTACAAATCCGGCCCATTGGGATTTCACTAGACTAATTTGGGATTTAAATCCAAGCCAGTCTAGTCCATCCAAGAATTGCCAAAGACCCCCGAAGAGGATACAAGCTCTGTAATTGTACCTCGGCGCCTCCTCCTCCTCGGCTCTCTCCTTCTCTCTTTCTCTTTGTGGAAAGTGCTCGCATCTCTCTTTACAAATCATACGATGCAATCCGACGAATGTGCCACCTCCATGGAACTTGAAAAAGTTCCATCTGAATCAAACCGTGTGTCTTTTGCTTCAAAACCAAATTGTGCACCCTTGAAGGTTCACAAGATATTCGACGGTCAAGTTCCATTCAGGAAAGTCTCTGTACCACTGCATCGATATACGCCTCTCAAGAAAGCGTGGTTGGAAATTTACACTCCTATATACGAGCAGATGAAAATCGACATTCGTGTGAATCTCAAGGCTCGCAAGGTTGAATTGAAGATCAGATCAGACACACCCGACATCAGTAACCTCCAAAATGTGCTGATTTTGTGCACGCTTTCATGCTTGGATTCGACGTGATTGATGCCATTGCACTTCTCCGCATGGACAAACTCTATGTGGAGTCTTTTGAGATCAAAGATGTGAAAACCCTTCGAGGCGAGCACTTTGTCTCGTGCCATTGGAAGATTATCTGGTAAAGGGGGTAAAACTTTGCAATTGAGAACTCTACGAAGACTCGGATTGTGAATGCAGACACCAAAATACATATACTGGGTTCTTTTGCCAACAACAAAATTGCAAGAGATTCTCTCTGTAGCCTTATCATAGGGTCCCCTGTTGGCAAGGTTTATTCGAAACTTAGAGCAGTTTCTGCCAGATTGGCAGAGAGATTTTGACAATGATGAGCATTATACTATTTGATTGTACCTTGAGCTAAATTTTCAGCTGAAAAATACTATTTTAAGAAGGTAAAATTGCAGTGGTTATGCTTGTTCTCATGTGTTTGTCCAGTGAATGGTCTAATTTGTAGTTTGAAACTTGCCTATAAGGCAAGACTAATGTCATGCTTATCAAAATATTTATCAAAAGATATTTTTACTAAATCAGTTCACACCTCCATCTCACTCTTGAACCCCACCGACTCATTTGGAAAAAGTACTTTTTTGTATGAACGACATTTTTCATATGGCAATTATAGGTGCCTGCTGGATTTTTGCTTGTAACTCCTTGCTAATTACTCTTTCACAAGGGTGGGATCTCTGAAAGCTAGAAGTTAGTTTCATAATTTGTTATGCCACTTGATTGGAATGCTCTTGAGACTATTTGTTTTCAACTTAGGCATCTATTACTTGGAAGCAAGGTACTGATTGTCCTTAGATTTGTTTCTTATTAAAAAAAACAAAAGAAAATTTACTGCTAGTCCTAGAATTTGCATAGTATGGGGGTAAACCAATAGTCCACCTTTTTCTATGAAAGAGATTCCCAAATTGAGACATGATTTAAAAAGAAAAAAAAACAAGTATCCATTAAAAAAGGGGAAAAAAAGAAGGGAAAATAGAAGAAAAGAAGGTTCTCAAGAGCTCCACCTATTTACCAAAGTAGAAAATATGTATAAAAATCCATACTTCGATACCTCTAGACACGAAAAATGGTTGATATTTGTGAGAATGATTGGCGCGAACAGTCCCATTGCTCTCGTTGAACGTTTCCAACTATTGCATCACAGCACTGCGAAGACTGGAGACTATTTTTAGTGCTTCACTCCTCTTTGTCGTCATGCCAATCCAATTTCAAGATCAACAGCTATTAGACCATCTCAAACACAAAAATAATCTATAACAAGAACAATAAAAATATTTAGAGTATATCAACGGAGTCCAAATTGACAAAGCTAGGTCATTTGATATGAAATACAGATTAGAATATAAAAGAAATAATAAAAAATTTACACAGTAAAAACAGGAATAGAAAATTTAGAGTAGATCAATGGGTATTTAGATTAGATCAACGAAGTACAACTCATACAAATTTGTATACACATGAATAGAAAATTTACCCAATAAAATTACCTAAGAATATCACGTGAATCAATCTTAGACAACATTATAAGTAAGGGGTGTGCACATACATTTAAATATACATGAATACAAAATCTACACAACCAACTTAATCTAAGAGTTAGATTAAATATACTTGTAGTCATATGACAATCCATTAAATAAATAACCGCACCACCAACACTACGTTCTGCATTTCTAACTTCAAACCCATGACCATCAATTCCCTTTAAGCTTGTGTCTTTCTTCACAAAGGAAACATTAGACACACAAACATATATGTATTCATTGTTGTTAGACTTTTCATCAAACAATTGATGTGCCTCCAACTCCCAATAAATTAATTCCTAAATTGACACAATGGCAACACATTAATAGCCAAATTGCAATCAATCAAGTTTATTCAAGTAGACCAAAATTAATCAAATAAGCAATGCAAGAGCAACTCATTATACAACTATAACAAAATTTCAACTAACAATGCAACTCCCAGTAAATTAATTCCTAAAACACAATGGCAATGCATTAATAGCCCAATTTCAACTAACACTTCAATTCACAGCACATTTAAAATTGCATAAAAAATTTAAAATGGTAGAAAAAATACACCCAAACTCATAGCGTGTGTGTGTGTGTGACTAAGGAGTGGTTGCACGTGTGAATGCGTGCAGACAATGTGAGTGTGTGTGATCACTGGGGGTTTGGGTGCGCTGTTTATGTATGAGAAGAGTAGAAGGAGGGAGGGAGTCGCACTATGAGAGTGGGTGTGGGTGTGAGTGTGATTTAGTGGGGATAAAATTCAAGTTTCATCCTGTTTTATTATATAGATAAGCTTAAAAAGTTCAAAAAATTATTCAAATTCTGCTCATTTTTGTTTTCTAAACAAGTCAAATTTGAATCAATCTCAAAAAGAGTCGAACCTGAATCGAATTTGAATAGTTTGACTCAATTATCTGCTCACAAACATGTAAAATGGTCTTAGCAAGCAACAAAAACTATTTAACCAAATGACATTTAAGAGACTAACAGACGCTAAAAGAGCCCAAACACCACCAAAGGACCATCAAAACAACAGGGCAAGTGCAAGATTGCAGCCAAAATATACAGTTGAAGAGTGGTCCAGCGGCATAATACTGCCCCGTGAGAGTTTCGAACCGGGCACCTCCACATTAGAAGTGGTAAGCCCTCAGTCCTTGCCGCTAATGAGTTTACTGTAGATATAGGGTTAAGTATTTAAATGGATCAGAGTTTAAGACATATATATCGGGCCTTGTATAAATAATTAAAATATATATATGTATATTTTGTCATTGTATTTTTATATGAAATTAATGTATACATAATATATAGACGAATAAGATACATCTTAACACAAATAATTAATTTTTCATATATTTTCCTTCCGATTTTGGTGAGTCGGAAGGAAAGCTAATCCATCAACTTTTTCATCCTTCCTATTTTTAATCTTACGAAACATGATGTTTTATTTATTTTTCCAACTTTTCATCCATCTAACTTTTCATCATTCTATTTTTCTAACATATCAAATAGAACATAAGAGTCAAATCACATTTGGAATCATATTGATTAAAATTCAAACTAAATCTCATTTGTTTAGATGATTTTTTTCCCTTTTTCCCCAAGAAATTTATTTAATATTATGGTTAAAAAGTTAAATTCTCAACTTATAAAAGTATAACATTAGTCAAGATTGATACAATTTTCATCTGTTTTTATCTAATAATAAAAGATTCATCCTAAGTTTTTTTTTTTCCACTCAAAATCATCATCTTCTCTACATGGCCTCCAATGTCAAATAACGCAACGCAACTAATACACTCTCTAATGTCAAACAACTCTTTTAATCCACGCCGACTTCTCTTTTCTCTCTCCCACATCGCTCTCTTATTTTCTTTTTTTCGTTTTAATTTTAAATTACGTAAACAAAGAAAAAAATATTATTATTTATAATATAAAATATTATATAATTAATATTTAATTTTTAATACTACAAAAATTCTACTGACACGAAATTATTGGTAGTACCTAAGATATTCAGGATTCAGATAGCCATGTCCCCAATACATGATTGGACAAGCAAAATGGCCCAAGCATCACAAAAAACAAAAAAACAAAAAGCTTCCTGCTGGATGATGCCGAGGTCTGTTGACAGTAATCAAAGACTACATGATGTTTTCCAAAAGTAGCTGAGCACTTGTATATAATTTTAGTGTTAGCAGTCTCAAGTCATAATCAAATTGATTGGTGAAGCCCCTTTAATAAACTAATGGGTACAAACTTAATTATGCATGATATAAGTCGAACTATATTTGACACAAATGCAAACATAAATAATTAGAAATAGGTCGGGTTAAAGTTAGTGGATCATTTTTTTTTGGGTTCATATCCAATAATATTCAATGTTAACTTATAAATTTTATATTGTATTATCGTGTTGTGTCAAAAATTACCATCAACTCTAATTGTATATCGTGTTTTAATAAAAATAAATATAAGTAGAGTAGAGGGAATTATGGAGCACATCATAAATTTGGAATTCTTAAGTCCAACTCTCTTCAATGGAGCTTGAGTTTAACTAATATATATGATTTTTGACTTTTGAATGCTTAGTATTATTCGGGGCTTACTTTAAAAAAAATTTGTGTGAAACATAAAATTAAAAAAATAAAAGTAAAAGAAAATGAATGAATATGGGAAGCTCACCCTCTGGAACCATAAACTTTTGCTACCGTAAAGAGAAAAAGTGATTTATGTTGTAAAGGAACGGAGCTTTTTCACATCCAATGAAAGTTTGTTAGCACCATGGGTGTCTAGCAATGGTGCTACCAAATGAGGAAATAAACTTTGAAAATACAACGGAAGAAAGTTGAAGAGAAGAAGTCACCGTGCACAATAAGATATCTTGGTCTATTCAAATGAAGGAGCTCACTTATGTCCTTAACCTCCGTATCACAACTAGAGCTTGGGGCATGGGGAACAAATAACGAGCTTAGATCTAGACTTAGCTTGGGCCTAGTTTGTAGGTTTAGCCCAAATCATCAAAAGGCAAGTCAAACTTAGTCTACGACTTTAGTCCAATCTGAAGCTCAAGAGTCAATGCACGAGAGAGAACAATCATCAGGATACGCACGCAGGAGAGCTATCATCAAGATAACCATTACTCTAAAGTAATACACATTCTCAATTGCAACTAACCTCCCTAATAAAGTAGTATCTTGACTTTCACGTCACCACTTCAACTAGGGCTCTATGCCTATAAATTATAAACTCCTTCCACATGGGGACATATCACACACAGCTCACCTTAAATGTCCTCTTGCTCTTTCTCTCTCTCTCTTACTTTCTTATTTTCTCTCATTAATAGAGTTTTTTAGTCATTGTTGTTACCTTCAATGGTTGGATAACCTAAACTCAATCATCCAATCTTTATCTTTTTTTATTAATTATTTCATTAATTGTTTTACATTACACATCCGGCTGATTTGATTGTGCATAGTCAAT